CTGTTTTAAATTAGAATTTCTTTGCTTACAAACCTACTTTTCTAAGTTCCATAACTCACTTGTTTCAAATGTCATTTCACAAAGCATACATCCCATTCTTGTAATGATGCTTTAACTATATTACTTTTTCTCAACATGGACAGTACAAAAGGACCAAAATAAAGCTTTGAAAAATTTCATCTCACTATCCAATTTAGGTCACCTTAACGAAAAGCCATCCTCACACCATTTTCCCATTATTTCAATCTACAAAATGACATGTTTCTTCTGGAAATAATTTTTTTGAAAATAATTCTTTTGAAAGTAAATAATATACTGTGAAAAGATTTAATTACAAGGTTCATCTTTCCCACCACATACTAATACTAAATTTACTGGATTTTCATAATTTTTCATCCAATTGAAAAAATATAAAGTATTTCATGCTCACCCTAGATAAATAGTAAATAGAAAACATTTAAATGAAGAATGTAATTAACAATTGGGGAGGGGGAAGGAGGAAGGAGGGGACGGGTATATGCATACACAAAGAGTGCGATGCACACCACCCGAAGGATGGACATATTTGAAACTCGGACTTGGGGGGGGGGCAAGGGCAACATACGTAACCTAAACATCTGTACCCCCATAATATGCTGAAATAAAAAATAAACAAAACCTTTAACAATATTTAGTACAGAATAAAAACAGATCTCGTTTTAGTCTACAAAGGAACACTGGAATTGTTATATAATTAGATGATAGCCAGGCAGTCTTGGTAGTCTTGGGTTGGTCTCCTATACAAAATGAGATGTTAAGTTCATGATTTTATGTTTGGTTTCTCACCCTACCACATTAAAATAATTGTTATTGAAGTATATGTTCCTGAGATCCTTTATGTTAAGGGACAGCCTTTGCAATATAATGCTTTTGTTCTACAGTTGGTTTGCTAACACAGTGTTGAATACTCCTAGTTCATATGCGCCAAGATCTAACAAAGCAGACCAATTTCTGAAAATGGGAAAAAACATAGGCTTTTTGATGTAGTTCCCTAAAGGCATCTGATGATCCAGCACTGCTATGGTGGTGGGTGGTGTTGAAATCTAGGATGACAGGGTTTTGGAATCAGATGGGAGGTTACTAAGACTTACATTATGGGTTAAATGGGATAGTTGTCAATATTGTCAGTTGGTTCAGATTTTAAAATGGAGCAATTCCCTTTAGTTTCTTGGGTAATGATCAAAAAGAAAGGCATGACAACTGGAACAAGCAGATGAAACATTTTTAGTTTGGGACATCTAATGTTATACCCTTGCACCTACAAATTAGTCAATTTCTTCTGCAGGGCCTTTAGATTGCTGATAACAACATTCAGTTCTTATCTGAGATCCAAGGTTCTAAGAGATCTTTCTCAACCAGTTCCAAATTTACAAGCTAATTCTTTTGGAAAGACAGGGTGGAGCTGGAAAATCATTGTGAACCTGGGAAGATTCTCTAATTCAATAACATTCTAGGGTTCAAATGTAGTCTTGCATTTTCTCTAAATAAAGACTTATTAGTTCTAAAAATCTTATTGGGTAGAATTCCAAGCCTAGCCAGCTTTTTCTGGGTTCTCAGAACAAGGGGAAGTAGAAAGAGGAACAAGATTCTCTTGTTCCTCTGCCTTCCTAGGAGATGAGCCATTTTTCCCCCTAGAAGTAGATATATTAAAAATTATGGTACATCTTCCTTCAAAATTCTTAAAAAGATACATGAGATTTGCTTCAAATTAAACCAGTGGGGGAAGGAGGCATTAAAATAAACCAATCAGGGGTAAGTAGATGAAGGGAGGAGTGAGGAAGAATATAAATGAAACAAGATTGGTCATGAAGGAATAATTGTTTAAGCTGGGTGATAGCTATTGAGGTTCATTATATTCTTCTACTTTTGTATATGGTTTTCTGCAATTAAAGATATAAATATATCTATAAGGGGAATTCAAGATTCAAACTAGTGGCCGTCCTACTTGAGACATGAGGAGTTGAATTTAAGGGCCCTACCTGGGTAACAATTCCCAAATACTTTCCTCTCCTGGTATGGCATAGACCATTTAGAAATGACAAGTGGACAAATCTATCTGCACATGACCCTGAACTGTTCTACAAAAATAATTTTTCAGTAATTCCCGTTTTTTTTTCTCCTTAGGGTAGAATCTGTCCTGGCATATAGAAAAGCCTTATGCCAGTAAAATCTGTATTTTTTAAGACAATATTTTATTTGTAACATGGGCTAAAGTCTTAACTGCTCTACCTGGGCTGAGGTTTTCTAGGCCTAATTTACAAGTAGAAGAAAATCCATCTACTTTTCTACTCCACTATAACCACGAACAACTGGAATAACCTCTTAACATGGCTCTCTGCTTCCCTCAGCTCTACAATACATTCCTCACACAACCTCCAGAGTGATCTTCAAAATATAAATCATATCACATTACTCCCTTGCTTAAATTCCCCCAATGGCTTCCCACTTTAAACTTCTCACAGGTCTGAAAGTCTTACCAGTCCCCCTCATTAACCATTGCCCAGCCAAAGTTTGTTCCACCTCAGGTTATTTGCACTTGCAGGTTTCTCTGCCTTCTTTTTTCCACGACATCTTCATATGACTAGTTCCTTCTTGCAACTCATGTCTCAACTCAAACACCATGTCCTCAGTAAGCATTGCCTCTATGTGCTCACCCACAGCTATCTGTTTAAGCAAAGTTGCCAATGTATACCAGAATTACACTGGGTGCTTTTGTCTACTATCTCATTACTCATATGGTGGCAACAAACGGGAGCTTGCTAGAAATGCATAATTGTAGCTCCCACCCCATACCTACTGAATCAGAATATGCATTTTAACAAGTTTACTAGGTGATCACTGTAGACATTAAATTTGAGAAGCACTGGTCTAACATGCAAGGCTAATAGAGTTCTTTCTCTGTTAATGACTATTAAAGAATAATTAGTAAACCCAATGACAAAGAGTCTTAACTAATAGTACTATATATCTAGGTACATTAATTCTATTAAATGCTGACTACTTTGAATATAGCAAGTTATTTTTATGCTCACTGGCAGAAATCTCTCCCAAATACTTAAATCAATACTTTTCCTTTTGAACGTGTATTGGAAACATAATTAGATGTATTCATTTCTCAGGATTGTGTAATTTAAGCAAGTTAAGAACTTTTAGTTTTCTCTATAATATTATATCTCAAGTCTTAAAATGGGCACCTTTATTTATCATATTTAATTATGGTTTTAGCAAATAACATTTGAGGAATATGCATGCCATAGTCATTATAATTGTTTAAATTCCTAGCTCATTTTTTTGTCAATGCATAAAAGTCAACAAGATATTAAAGAAAGGACCAAACTGCCTAAGAGAAATTTGAAGTGAAAAGTCTTTTAATAAAGAATGAACATTACAACACAACTTTAAATAAATTCATAAAACCTTCAAGTGCAACAAATGCTTTTTATTGTATGCTCATTTCAATGAGTAACATTTAGAAATAATAATCCCACGTAACAGTGACGATCTTATTTTACAGCGTGTACATCATTTACAGCCACATAACACACAATTTTAGTAGATTTTCCAAAGTTAATATTCTGAAGTTAAGAAAGATAAAAAATTTATTCTCAAGGAATGGATTCTTATCTGGTGCAAAAACAGAAAGGTGAACATTTGAAACACAAAGCCACAATATAGCATGAAGTAAAATTACACTTTAATTATGTTGAACAGCTGAATGTAAATATGAAACAACTAAAACTTAAAAGTACACATCATATGCATTACATTTATGAACAGGATTTTCATTAAATTTCCCTAAACCAGCTTTTAATATTAAGCGCCATTTTGATTTGCAGCATGCTAACACAAAGCGTTGTTAAAGGGATGCATATTTTAAATTTATACACTGTAAACTGAATATCCACCTCCAAACTCTATTGGCAGTATATTGTTATGTTAAATACTGCATAAATACTGCCTCACATTGAAAATGTGTGTTAATAGTATGGTATATAGATTTTAAAAATCAAAAGTTTCAATAATGGCATAAAATTGCACCTTTAAACATTAGAGCAAGTAAGACTAGAACAATCATACTTGCTAAGACTGTCCTAAAAAACCCTCTAGACATTATAATACTTAAGAAAACTGTGTTCTCTCAATTTAATCTTTAGATCATTAAGAAATATAGTGCTGATTTCATTTGCAACACTACTGCTGCATCCATTTTAGAAAGCCACATTTGACTCAAATATACTTTTTTTATATATGCCATACTGAACAACAATCAACTTGAACATCCAAA